GGGGGTTATTTGGAGACCCGGGAGCGCGGAGAGGGGGCTCGAGGCGTGGCGCGCGGGGACGCCGGGTTCTTCTCCTCCCCGCCCCCCTCTCACCCCATCTCTACCCGGGGACAGAGGGGCGGGCCGGATCGCCAGGGCCCGGCGCGTCTCCGCCTCCCCGGCTGGCCAGGAGCCCGGTCTGGCCGCGGCCCGGAACCGCGAGGACGCAGCTCGGAGGCCGCGTCCTGCCTAGCCGGAGCGGGGGAGGGGGCTGAGACTGGGAGCCGCGGCCGGGCGTCGCCAGGCGGCCGATCGATCCCCAGGGGCGGGAGCGCTGCAAGCTCCGTTGAACACCTGGGGGGGGTTGTCCTCTCAGGACCGAGGGCCGAGCGGGGAGGGTGCTCAGGGATCCTGTGTCGGCAGATGGAGGCTGGTAGGGTCCAATCTGAAAGGCTGCAACTCGGGCTCCACGAGGGGGTAACGCCATGAGCACCCCCCCCCCAATTCTACGTAGTCTGTGTCTGGATGGGCTATTTCTGGAACCTGGGCCTGTCCTCCGTGCAACTTCATCACTCCCTGTGTAGGCTCCCGCCCCACCCCCACTTGCGATGATGAAATCGTGGGACGTGGTCACCCAGGCCATCTTCGGGCCTCCCTGAATCCTGAAATATGTGGGTATCCTCCAGAAAGATACCCCATGTTTGCCAAAGAAGTCCCCTCGCCAGCATCCTTCCGGAAAGATGTGTTCCGGGATGGTCCCCGATGATGGTCCCTGATGGCTCCTGGGGCATCCTCTTGGCCCCTCGCCTGCCAGCTCCCAGTGCCCAGTCCGGGTTGAGGCGGGGGAGGGGGGGTACGGGGGGAGGGCACCAAGGAGCCTGCACTCGCTGAGCCCTCCCCTAGGGGGCGGGCTCCCCCCGGACTGGCCCGAGGCTCCGGGCCTGCCCTGGCGGTCCCTGGTTGCCAGTCCTTCCACCGAAAGAAGCCTGTACCCGCGGGGCAGAGTGGGGGCGTCTCACCGAGGCAGCAGTGGTTGAAAAAAAAATCCTCGTGCGCCCTGCCTCCCGCGCTCCACCCAGCCCAGTTACCCCCCGGCTGACTACCGCCTATAGACAGAAACAACGTCTATAGAGGGACTTTGAACCCTAGGAGCCTCAGCACACCCAGGACTAAACATATCTTCCTTGAGGGCCATTGTTTTCCCTGAGGGGCCCCTGGCTCCGCTCCCTTCCTCCCAGCACACATTTTACTTTTTGAGGTGTTTGAAGGAATCCTAGTTCCAGAGCATCACAGAGCCCCTTGTTCTGCTATCAAAGGACCAGTAAGAAGTGAAGAGTTCTTAAGGGGAGCCAGCGGTAGTGCAGCAGTGGGGGGTCCTGGGGAAACAAAACAAAACAAAACAATAACAGGCTGTTTCTAAACAGAGTGGCTGGAAAATGTCAGCTGGCTACTCCTGTGCCCGTCTGAGAGGTGCAAAGGCTGCTTCCTGGTGACTACTCCTGGGACCAGAGCCCCCAAGAGGTACCCTAGCTAAGGGGAAAGGGACCCCAGGACTTCGGGGAAGATCATGACCTTGAGGATAGGAACTGAATTAGACTATGTCTTTCTTACAGTTTGTGTTTGTTTTGAGAAAGGGCCTCAGGGAGCCTAACCTGGCCTGGGACTCACTTTGTAGCCAAGACTGGCCTGGAACTCTTGATCCTTTGGCCTCCACCTTCTGAGTGTTAGGATTATAGGCCAGAGCTACCATAGCTAGCTTCACATTATGTCTTGAATATTTGTTATAATCACTGGGTGACCTTCTGGATAAAGCTCTGTTGTGTCCTCATAGTCCCCCACCCCCCACCCGCGCCTGCCCTGCCCCCATTCAGTCCTTGCTGGCTGGAAGAAACACTAGGAATGTAGCTGAGCCTGTGGTTGAGAGAGGGCCTGCCTGCCTGCACTCCTGGGCAGAGCCACCCTGGGGTCATTCTGGGAAGGGCCATTTCTTCTGTGACCAAGGAGGCTCAGTGCAGGGCCCACTACACTTTTAGGGACTTATGGAAATGTTCTAGTTTCTTTTCCGGCCTCTAGATATGGTCTCATGTAATCCAGGCTGGTCTCAGGCTCACTATATAGTTGAGGATGGCCTCAAACCCCTAATCACATCTTTGTCTCATACTGAGTTTTATGCAATTTTGGGCTTCCAACTCAGGTTTTTGTGCCTACTACATAAGCCCTCTATCACCTGAGCTACATCTCTGGCCCTAATTTCTTCTTCTTCTCTCTTCCCCCCCGCCCCACGCTCCTCCTTTTTGAGACAGGGTCTCATTGTGTAGTTCTAGCTGACCTAAATTACTATGTAGACCTAGTTGGCTTGAACTCACAAAGTTCTATCTGCCTCTGTTTCCCAAGTGCTGGGATTAAAGTTGTATATCACCATGCCAAGCCCATAAATTTTTTTATGTATATATTTAAAATTTATGGTAATCTAGGCATGGTGGTACATGCCTGTAATCCCAGTTACTCATCAGGCTGAGGCGAGAGGGTCTTATGTTTAAGACCAGCCTTGGCAATTAAGCAAGACTGGGTGTCAAAAATAAATACATGGGACTGGAGAGATGGCTCAGAGGTTAAGAACACTGGCTGCTCTTGCAGAGGACCCAGCATCCACACAGCAACTCACAATTGTCTGTAACTCTTTTCCTGGGCATGCACATGTTACACTTATATACATGCAGACAAACACTCATAAAAATAAATAAATCTTTAAAAATCTTGCAGTGCACGATTCAGTATGTCCAACTCATTTATGCTGTTGGGTAGCCAAACCCTCCACTCACTTCTTGAACTATCTGCTTCTAGAATTTAAACCCTGTCATCATTAAATACTAACGTTCCACTCCTGCCTCCTCAGCCCTTGCTATCCCTGCTATTCTTCCCTTCTGTGAAGTTGACTGCTCTAAGGCCTTCTGTAGGGGGGATGCCATAAAAGCCTCCTGGCTCTGTGTCACTGAGCTTAATGTCTTCGAGGCCCTCTAGGCTGTAGCAGATATCTGAATTTCCTTTCTTTAGGAGGCTGGGTAATATTCCATTGTAGGTATAGTTTCTCTTTTTAAAATGTATTTTATTATTATTTTTTGTGTATGCATGTTGTGCCTGCCTGTATGTAAGTGCATCCATGTAGTAAAATGCTCATGGAGGTCAGGAGAGGGCCTTGGATCCTTCGGAACTGGAGTTAAGGATGGTTATTAGCCACCATGTGGGTGCTGGGAACTGAACCCGGGTCCTCTGCAAGAGCAGCCATTCTTAACCTCTGAATCATCTCTCCAGCCCCCTACAGGTAGATATTTCTTTTGAAGTCAGAAGCAAAGATGTTTAGATCAAAGAGAAAACCTTAACTGTAATTGTAATGTGCGGATCCAGTGCAGCTGATGTCATTTTTAATGTTGTTTTATGGAGGAAGGCGTTCATGAGGACTGAGGTACCCAGAGCTTGGAGATGTCAGAAAGCAGCCCTGCTTCTGGGGGAAGGACATCTTGGTGAAGATGTGGATCAGGATCCCTAGGGGCGTCAGAAGTTCACTCTGATGACTCACAGCACACCTGCGGAGTGGCTTGGGACTCTGGTTACTGTCTCTCTGTCCAGAATGCTAGCCTCTGATGCTGCAGCCAAGAGGAGGCTGTGGAAACAGGGGGAGAGGCCAGGGCAGAAGCCCAAGGCCTGCTGCTCTTCTCACAGAGTTCATTTCTGTGGCGCGGAACCGGCTCTGGCAATATGAATTTCTCCCGGATGTCCGTCTGGCCTGTGTCAGCGAGCTGATTGCCCTGTGATTTGACAGTAATGATTATAATGGGGTGATTTTGTATTCTTTGACTCGTTCAGATTGGAAGGTTCAGAAATGAAGCCGAGTCTCCCACCCCCCATCCCCTTTCCTGAAGCTGGTGTTGTCTTCTGTCAGAACAGAAGCATCTCACGGAAAAAGCTTCTCAGAGAGAAAAGCTCCTTCACTTTTTCAGCCTAATGGTGATGACTGGATTGTAATTTTTCAGCCCGAGGACAAGAGCTGCTATTGAGAAGCCAAGGAGTGTCACGCCGAGACACAGAGGTCTTGCTACAGGAGCCAGTGTGTGAGAGCGAGATCTTTCTTGCAATTCTAAAAGGCAGCTATGAGCTTGTTAATACTCAGAGACATCTGGGGATGGCTCCCTCCTCCGTTTGGCCATGTGACTTTTTCATGTCCTTCTTATCCCCCCCCAGAGGTACATTCCTGTTCTTACCATGCCCTGCCTCTGCCTCCTCTCCTTAAATAAATCTTGACAGTCCACACTGATTCCATGACATATTGGGTTAAGCCACTGAGCCCAGGTAGCCGGGCCCTGACCATTTCCCACTCATTCCCCAAAGTAACTCAGGGGTCAGAGCTACACCTGTCTTCCACCTTTCAGCCAGTTGAAGGGTTGATGAGGAAATACCTGTGTGTTTAGTAGTGTGCATCCCAGCTCTCGGGCCATGGTGCTCTTCAAAAAGGGAAGGTGGTACTTGTGGACATGGCCTGCAGAACCCTGCCTGCTGCTTCTGAACAGCATCGATTAGCCACTGTCATTTCTCATGTCGCTCATTAGAGGCCTGATTAGTAGCAATGCCTGCCAGCAATTTCCCCCTAAACATAGCCCCTCTGGCCCTCAGAAGCCAGCCTCCTAGAGTAGGCCGGGGTTAAAGCCAAGCATCTACCTCTGACAATCCCAAGCCTTTGCTTACAGGAGTTTTATTGTAAGGTTCCTGGGCCTGAAGGGTGGGGACACAAAGGGGGCCTCTCACCCCCTATCGGAAGTATAGCCTCTGGTGAGGAAGGGAGGGTCCCCGACCTTCTGCTTGTGCTCAGCCCTATTTCCTTTCTCAGGGTCAAGCACTGGCCAGGAAGGATTGGAGATGCGCCTTTAAGTCAAAGTGTTACCATGAGGTCGCAGAGCTCTTGAGGAGCGGGCTCCAGGTTGCCAAGGTGAACCTGTCAATAGCGTATTGACCAGGCTGGTCTGAGCAGCATAATTGTCTACTTTAAGCAGCCAGCCTCTAGTCCATCCCACAGTGCTCAGAGGACCGCAGGATCCTAGCTGGGCTGGAGCATCAGGAAAATGTGCCCCAGGTTCAAGGAGCCCACCAGAGCCCCTCCACTCACAAGCCAGCGCCCCAAGCTGTGAGGTTCTCTTTGTTCCCTCTGTCCTTGTCAGTGACTTGGTACCACACAAAGAGCATCCCAGCTCCCCAGAACCATCCAGATCCCCAGAATCCATCCAACTCCCCAGAGCCTGTCCAGCCTGTTTTCTTTTTTTAATAGTACGGGTGACTGAACCCAGGGTCTTGTCAATCCTGGACAAGCCTTCCATCACTGAGCTATATCCCCCGTCTCCCCATACATACCCCCAGTACATACAACTCTGCCTACCAGGGACTCACTTGCTGGATTTTCCCAGCCCCCTGCCAGCCCCAGACAAACACTGGGAGCCGGCTGTGTGTCCACTTTGCAAGACAGAATGAAAGTATACAGCCCCTTGCTCATAGAATTTTATGAACGATTTCAAGATGGCTGAACCTGAGATCAGAGTGGGATCATTCTGATGGTATGGTGGCTATGCATGGAGATCCCATGAAACCAGCCCATCCTTCTGCCGGACATCAGCATACCGCCCATGTCTGCTGCCTCTCCCTCTACAGAACTCCATTCTTGTCTGCTCCCTGCTTCCCTCTATTTCCCTATCCCCTCACAAGCCAGTCTACTCCAGCAGGAGCTCAAAGGAAGGGGTCATCCTGTGGATCCCTGTCAGCCTGAATGGAGACACTTCAGTGATGACCTCAGCATTGGGTGTCCAGCCCTGGTCCTGATGCCCATGGAGAGTCTCTGGTCGGCCCAGCTGCCCTGGGAGCCATGATTCAGTTGGGTGGAGAGTCTAGGGGCTTTGGCCCCTCTCAGGTGTGGAGATGGGGAGGAATGGGGGTGTGCCGACCCCTGCTGGTAGTTCTGGGCATGGAGCAAGAATGTCAAGTGGTCAGAGCCAGACCAAGCCCCACCTTTCTGGGCTTTCAAGCTGCCTGCGGGACATGAGGCCTCACTTTATTCACCTGCAAAAAAGGAGATAAGAGCTTCTTGGCTCCATACCCTACAGAGCCTGGTCCCTGTCAGTCTCTGGCTTCCTTTCCTGCCAGCCCCTATCTCTGCATACTCCACTCCAGTCACACGGAGCTTCACGACTGCATGTCATTGTGCTAGGCACACTGCTGCCTCTGGGTCTTTGCGTGGTGGTGGCTGCAGTCTGGAATGTTCTTCATCAAATAGTGTTCCCTCCTTTTCATACTTTTTTTTTGAGACAAGGTCTTTTTTTTTTTAAAGGATCTATTTTATTTTACAAATGTTTTGCCTGCGTGCATGTACGTGTATCACATGTGTACCTGGTGCCTGTGGAGGCCAGAAGAGAGTGTCTGATCCCCTAGAACTGGAGTTACACACAGTTGTTAGCTGCCATGTGGGTGCTGGGAACTGAACCCAGGTCTTTTGCAAAAACATCCAATGCTCCCTCTCTATCTCACCTGCTGAGCACCCACACCAGAAGAGCAGGGTCAGTGCCTCTCTGGTGTGTCCCCAGCTTTTAGAACCAGTATGCACTGGTCAATGCGTGCCCGGATACACAGGATTTTTGTCCAGGAGCACAAAGGATCACTGGGTGTTGGGCTGGCACTGGCTTCTACTGGCTTTCTGGAGCCCGTGGCTCCAGTTTCAGAGCTGTGTGAACTGGTTGTTAAATGCAGCCAATGTTAGAAAGTAAATGATTTCGATTTGTCATTAAGTAAGCTATATTAAGAAGAAGGTTAAGGGTTAACAAGATTAACATTAAGAGATGGCTCAGCAGTTAAGAGCACTGACTGCTCTTGCAGAGGACCTGGGTTCAGTTCCCAGCACCCACATGGCAGCTACAAACCATCCTTAAACTCCAGTACCAGGGGAATCCGAAGCCCTCTTCTGACCTCTGGGGCATCACACGACACAGGTGCACTCACATACATGCAGGCGATACACTCATACGCATAAAATAAAAATCATAAATAAAAAAGTTTTTTAAAAAAGAACAAGATTAAAAAATATTCAAAAATTGGGCCTGGGAAGATGAGTGGACATGCCTGCTGTGTGCAATGTGCAGCCGAGTTCAAATCCCCAGCACCCGTGTACAAAGCTGAGCAGGGACCATGCACGGGCCTGTAAACCCCAGCCCTGTGGGGTAGGGTGGGGGTGTGGAGACAGAAGGACCAATGGGGATTGTTGCCTCAAGGTTCAGTGAGAGACACTGTCTCAAGGGAATAAGTGGGGACTGGCTCCACTTCCTCTTCTAGTCTCTGTGTTACATGCACACACATAGACATATGCTCTATACACACAGTAAATATAAATAAATGTTCGAAAATCACTTTCCTGGTTTTTTTAATGACATTTTCTCTTACAGTGTTGTGCCAGCAACTTAGTTTAATTGGTGGACCCTGGGTGTCAGTGAGAGGCTCTGTCTTAAAAACAAAGTGGATGATGCCTGAGGCTGGCCTCTGGTCTGTACACACATATGCACACATATGTGTGTACTCCACACACCAGAAGAAAAGAAGGGAGAGAGAGGGAGAGAGGGAGAGAGGGAGAGGGGGAGGAGAAGGAAGGAATGGAGAGGAAGTGAAAAATGAGGAAGGCAAGGAAGGAGAGAGGAAGGAAGGGAGAAGGGGAAGTTGAAGGAAGGAGGGGGAGAAAGGTGGATGGGAGAAAGGAAGGAAAAGGGAGGGAGGTAAAGAAGGGGAAAGGAAGGAAGGATGGGGAGGAAAAGGAGGGAGAGGAAAGAAGGAAGGAAGGAAGGGCTAACCCCAGAGCTGGTCTCTTAGACTGATCTACTTGATCCTTTCTACGTTCCTCTTTGGCAGGATCACCCTTTGATCCTTGGGGCTGACATTCAAGTGGCACTGCAGGCAGAGACTTTACCCAGTGCTCCATCTGGACCCATGTTTCACTGCTGGCTGCATGCATACCATCTGCCTATAGAGTGTTTCCATCCATCCACCTATGACTGCCTATCCTCTAGTCAGGCTCTGGACCAGGGCACTGAGATATCTCAGAGCCACAGAGTACAGCTTACTTTGTTCAGACAGGAAGATGTGTGGAGATTTAGGAGTAAGATGTAGGGGCTGGAGAGATGGTCCGGCAGTTAGGAGCATTGGCTGCTCTTGCAGAGGACCCGGGTTTGAATCCCAGCAACCATATGGTGGCTTACGAGAGAGAGAGAGAGAGAGGGAGAGAGAGAGAGAGAGAGAGAAAACAAAACCAGTCCAGTGCAGAGATAAGCTTCATTTAATTTCTATGTCACCTGCAATCTGGGGCCTTAGCAGGTAGATGTTGGCTGAGAGATTGCTGTTTGCTTTCTCCGTGTCTAAATTCTTTAGAACAGAAGCACCAGGACTTATGGAGGTAGCTGCGTAGGAGGGGCTTATCTACTGTCTATAAGTTGGGGGTCATTAACAAAACCAGTCCAGTGCAGAGATAAGCTTCATTTAATTTCTATGTCACCTGCAATCTGGGGCCTTAGCAGGTAGATGTTGGCTGAGAGATTGCTGTTTGCTTTCTCCGTGTCTAAATTCTTTAGAACAGAAGCACCAGGACTTATGGAGGTAGCTGCGTAGGAGGGGCTTATCTACTGTCTATAAGTTGGGGGTCATTCATTTCAAGCCCGAAGAGCCCAACCTCCCAGCCTGAGGGCAGGAGGCAGAGGAAGGCCCACCACTCACAGAGCAGGTTCTCCCTGCTCTACCCAGGTCCTGGAGTTGTCGCTGAAGTCTGGACCTTGTGGAAGGTGGGTCATCCTCACCCTGTACATAAAGTGCTAATCTCTTATTAGTACATAAAGGGCTAATCTGTGAGAATGAGGAGCATTCTCACAGGCCCACCTAGAAATAATGTTTGGCCAGCTGGGAAGCCCTCACCTGATCAGGCTGACCCTTAAAGTTAGCTATCACCAAAATGCCCCTGGGTATGCCAGGTCTGAGAAGCAGAGTGTGGGTCCCTGAAAGACAGCCGGTACTCTGGTTAACAGCCCCAGAGCCTAGAGTGTGGCACATGTCTTATGTAGCTGAGGCAAGAGGATTGCTATGAGTTCCAGGCCAGCCAGGGCCATACAACGAGATACAAGATACTTTCTCATTAAAATAAGGTGGGGTGGGGGGGGTGCTGGAGAGATGACTCAGTGGTTAGGAGCACTGTTCTTCCAGAGGAC